CACACTGGGATATCGTGCTGTTCGCAAATTAATCAACAGTGGGAAACGTACGGTTCACACCGGGATATCATTCTTTATGTCAGTATAATTTTCACGTTAAACATATGTGCATTAATACAATATGTATGATACGGTGTGCAGAATACCGAATATATACCATATGTGTAATACGATAATAATACATTATTCATACTGTAAAGATACTGATCGCAAAAAACGGTTATACCGTATGATAACAGTATGTATATTTTTTTATAGGGCTATTTATTTCCTAAAACTTCACCATTTCAAAATGAAAGGAAAGAATGTAAGAATACTTCTTGGCTTATATTTTTCTATTTCATATAGGTTGGTTTAAATTTTGTGATATTTAGCATTTGCTTATAATTGTTTTTTTTTTAATAACAATTTTTGGTTTTTGACATGTTGCTAGTTGTTATTAGTAGAATAAATGAATAATAGATATTATTATATATATATACTGTATATATTTTTATTTATTCTATAGAAATCAAACAATTTACTAAATATTTAATAATATTTTACTATTTATTTATGAATTCAAAACACAATTTTACAATTTATTTACAAATTCGATAAGATTTTAATAATACATTTTTACAATTTCATGACCGAATATTGATTAAAGTTTCATGATATATTTTTGATATGGTTAATATTTAGTTTCAATTTTAAAAGTTTTTGTAAAGAATAATTGCTTTTTTGGAGAATTAAGAAAAAGGCTTGTGAAGAAGAATTTGCTGTCATTTTCATAGAATTGTCTGTAAAACAAAATTGATAGAAGGCCATTTTCCAGACAGGTTTGGCCAGAGTTATGCAGAGCTATGTACAAACATGTGATCAAACAAATCAAATGGCTAGTGTTAGGCTGTTGGCATATACATTATTATTGGAAATGGTTTTATATTATTATTTTAATAATTTATATCTCATAATTGAAAAAAGTTATAAAAAAAAGATTTATTTAAATAACAACCTAAGAAAATTGTAAAATATTTTACTACTCTAGTCTTAGTGTTTAAATAATTATAAGTATAATAAAAAAAGAAAAAAAGGAATTATTTAAATTACAAACTAAGAAACTTATAAAATATTTTACTACTCTAGTCTTAATGTTTAGATAAATCTAAAAAGAATAAAATAAAGAACAATTTCTTTAAATGTATAATATCAAATATCACTTAAAAAAAACTATAAATTTTTTTTAAAAACAAATAATGACTAGTTAATTTTCATCTGTTTTAGTATCTAAGTTAAATATTAAATAAAATTAATTTCACATAAATAATTTGCAAGATTAATTTTTTATATATCATAATACATACCTAATGACCCCAAATCCTTAATTATATAATCATTCAAATCTTCACTTACTAGCATTTCATTTGCTTCTATACTAGCTTGTGAATCTTCACTTTCAATAATTTCATTCAATTTTTTACTAGTAAAATTAAGTAAGCGACTTGTATAATATGCTTTAGGATGAGATTGAGTAACAAGATTGTTATACTGCCCAATTGGTGCATTTATAAATTCCATAATGTTGCTTTTTAATTCATTATTTACTTCTTCATCATCAGGACTGATAATCCATTTTTTAATAATTTTTAATACTTCTTTAGTAGATGGTCTTTTTAATGGATCTTCATTCCAACATTTTTTCATTAAATTTACATAACATTGTGGTTTATTTTCAATAATTTTAGGACGTTCACCATTTTTACAAATACTTAAACTAAGTTGAATTTCATGTGCTCTATTATTAAATGGTGGTACTCCAGATGTAATTTCCCACATAATCATAGAAAAACTATATATATCACTAGCTGGAGTATAAGATTTGCCTCTTAAAATTTCAGGAGCCATAAATGGTATAACACCATAAATATCATACTTTTTCAAAAACGATTTTACAGGTTGACATAATCCTAAATCACTAATACAAATTATATTCTCATCATGATTTAAAATATTACCATCATGAAAATCACAATGAATAAGATTTTTTTTATGTATTTTATTTAGTCCAGTAATAATTCTGTACAACATATATAATTTTTGATTCCAATTATTTTTGACTATTCTTGTTAAATTTTCTCTTAAATTACCATTATTTGCATAAGCCATTACTACTATATATTTTGAAATCTCTGGATCTTTTGTAAATCCATAAAAATTTACAATATCATCTGATGAATTTAAACAATTACTATGATAGTCCCACTACAAAAATTAATAATAATTTATTAATATAAATTATAAAAATAAAAAAATAATATACTATCAATCTATCATACTTCTTTCAAAAATTCATTTAAATTTTCATTTAAATTCTTGGGACATTTAAGAATTACTTTTCTTTCATTTCCATCATTATTTAACCAAATAGCTTTGTATATAGCACCAAATCCTCCTTCTTTAAGATATTCAATATTTTTAAATTTGTTATAAGGAATCCATCTTAATTTTTTTTCAAGAATAAAATCATCTATAATTGTATTTCCACTTTTTCCAAATCTATAAATTTAAATAATTAAAATTTTATTATAGATTGTATTATAATTTACACTAAAATAAATTATTACTTACTCTAAAATTTAAATAGGAATTTAATGTAATATAAGTCTTAGTTTTTGGATAAATACATAATAACCTATAATTTACAACTTACCAACTAAAGTAATAGATAATTTTTTAAATAAAAGAATTTAATTAACAAATAAATATTATATAAATATATAACAATAGAGATACTTACAAGCTAGATCATAATAATTTTTTAAATAAAGAAATTAGTTTAAATTATATGTAAATATTATAACAATAAGTAATAATAGAATTAAATAAATAACTTA